GACCATGCACTCATCCACCGTTGCCTTCGCTTGTCCCCTTAAACGATTGCCAGTACATTCTAAAGCTACCTAGATTCTGTTCTCGTAACCACCGACCTTATAGAAAGATTTTTTTGGATCACTCAACTAACACAGCTTTCTCTCTAGTAATGATGTAGCAAATCTTTATGACATCATGCCGGTTGTTCTCAAAGGCATCGTTTAATTTGTGTCTCGTGGATATCCCAAGTCTAACTCGTCTGATCTACTTGTTCTTCTTTCTTTCTTTTTAAAGGCTAAAAAGACTAAAAATGCAGTTGCTCAACGTGACCTCTACTCCTTTAGCCATCCACTTAAGAATCCTGGATTTTTTTATTTGCTTCAAATACGCGTGTTAAGCGCGATGGGCAAATATAATCACTTTCATTCAGTGATTAGAGTCTCACAAAATCCGTCGCGCAAATATTTCCACGTCGGTCAACCCTTAAGCGTGGTCATGACATTTCATTTTTACTAAAAATGGGCCGCGGGCAAAGATCTTTTTGGCCATTTTTTCAGGTACGTTTAGTTTATTTGGTGAAACTGGGTGGATACCGTTGAGTACCCTATCTGAAACTCAACACTGGATGCAATATACAGAAGGACCATGTAGGCTGCATTTGTTCAAATGGAACCGGTAAAGCATGACGACTTGGGCGTGAACCCTAGGGTTGAGTTCAATCTCTCATCGCTTTGGTTCATTTCGGGACAAAAATTTGTCAATGTTCCTTCTACAACTTACCATCTATAGTGATACCACAGCATCTGTGGAGGGCCGGAGAGTGATAACTTGCGCCCACGCAGCCTTGCCTGTTGAACGAGAAATTTTAATGGGTGACCTCAGAGGTCGGTCCTGGTGGCAAATTCAAAATCGCCCTTCAAATCCAGGCCACAATTAACCCCTTCACAATGTGGAATGCTCGTAAGAGATTCCTGAAAATGTGCCTTTGACTCAAAGGAAAGGAGTTCATATTTGTTATATGAGTGGCATAGGGAAAAGAGCTTTGACTCCAAACAATTAAGGTAAGTCTCTATTGAACACCTTAAAGATTATTTTGATTCTGTGCAGTTCACGGTATCTGGCTGTCTAATTCCAAATGCGGCCTCGCGGGTGTTCCGAAGATCTTGCATAAGAGGCCCTCATCGAAATTTATAAATGCGCCCTTCAGGTAATGGATTATGGACATCGCATTTTTTGCCATTCTGAATCAATGGACCGATCGTTTTAAGCATTTTGTCGTCAGCTGGCTGAAGTCCTTTTAGACTTCCAAACTTCGCTTACATGCAGTAAATAAATTTTGTGTATTTACAATCAGTATATATTTGTGGGCACTAATAACGCATTTGAGCCTTAATCCATCTAAGTTAAAAAAAGTCTGTTGCTATTCAATGTGAGTCAGTTTGAAAAGAGTGTAGAGCAGAAAATAATTTACAAAGTCGTTTACAGGTAATCATGTTGTAGAAGGGGAGTTTATTAAAATATTGGAATTTAACCTTCTTCTGAAGTCCAAAATGGTGCCGATCCTCACCGTTTCGCCTGTTAGCGAGTTCATGGACCGGATACGTATTGGTTAGAAAAGAATTTTCTAAGGTCCACTCTTGTTTCTCCGCCTCTGATTTTTGAATGGATGACCGCTCAGGTGGGCTGGGTAAGCAAAATCGAAAGTGCTCTTCGGTCTCAACGAATTACCGTGACTAGCGGTGACTCAAACTTTCTTGAGCAGGCTATACTTTAAGTGCCTGTAAGACTCTGAGAATAAGTCTAGCTCCCTAAACTTATAATGATAATAATAACTGTTTGATGGGTAGACCGTACTATCTATACAGATTTAACGCTGAGTCAATTGGTAAAGTGCAGAAACTGAAGACAGTAATGCTCTGGGCGAGCGACCAGATAAACAGAATTTTTAAGGAATTGTGCTTTGTATAGTAGGCAAGTTTTTTTCACGTTCGACGACGCGTTGTCATTTTGCGTACGATACATTTGGTGATAATGATTCGGGCAATTTTAAGACTGTAAGTTTGCAGAAAAAATGGCAAGCTACGGACAAGGTGGTGGGGAAAAAGTAGAAACTAAAAGTGAGGGGGAGTTTGGTGAACTCCCAATTTCAAAATATTTTCAGAGGGAAAACAGTTTTGCGAAGAAATAGAAGTCACCGGAGCAGGTTATTTCTGAGGGTTGGATGAAACCACAAAAGTCAGTCAGCAAGTGCGCGCGCGGTGGCAGACCTCCGGTGACACCAACAATGTGCGTGAGGCCTCGACACCCTGGCGGCCAGAACGAACTTCTAATGAGGATTGACGCGAGCCTAGTGATGACGGTTTAGAGCGTGCGCTTCTATATAAAATGATAACTTCTCCGAGGGGCTGATTAGGAGGGAACATTGTGTTTGGTAAAGGACACGGTATGCAGACTGAGAAATCATCGACATTTCTGATGGTTGATCGTGGAAGGCGAAACTGCAGGCGGAGAGGGAAAAAACAACGATGAGACGATTTCGCAACGACAGCCTAAATGTCCGATTTCTTCTTCCCAAAATCATAGGTAAAGCTGCCACTAATGGATTAGATAAACAACTAAGTATTCGAGTCAGTGTAAAGATGAAGAAACTGCAGTTTCTTCCGTATCGTAAATACCTAGCTACAGGGAAGGAGGGCGGTAAGAGGTGGAGAGATAAGCCAGCCTACAGTAGCGTTCTCATTGAAGAATGATGACACCACGAAGACCGCAATCTCCGACTATATACGTATGATTTACTAAAGTCAATTAGGAGACGACGAAGTCGTAGGGGAGGGAATTTAACCTATGGTCGTTTATGTGGCACCTTATCGAAGTATACAAATATTAAAACAGATAATGGTCGCAGGACAATAGTCACTAGGACTAGAAATGAGTAGATTCAAAAAAGACGAACGGACATCGAACCGTATTAAAAAGAACTAAGTACTTGCTCGGCTGTGCAAAAATCGGCAGTTTTGATGGCAATAATGTTTTTAAACTCTTTAGCGATTGAGTTTGTTTAGTGAATATTTGACGATTTTGCAAATGAAAACGAGAATCAGATTTATATACAGTGATAACAATAGTAGTTTACCGATAATCAGTACAGAGATTATTCTCGAGAGAGACTTTGGATACTCTGTTCTGCAAAGAAGGGAAATAATTCAGCTGTTTTATAAGAGAGTGCAGAGTGTTTTCAGTTTAAACTGAGTGCGAATTTCTAAGTCGTCTTCTCCTACTGTGACAAATACTTAAGAGCATCAATTACCTCTGTTGCCCCGAATTGTACCTATTCACGGAGATCAATATTGTAATAGTCTCCAGACGGGGTCTCACAAAGACGCGGAAACTTCTTCTGAAAAGTTCAGAAGGAAATATTTTTAAATCCCGTGCAGTGTACTAGTTTCCGTCGAGACCACTATTGCAACCTCATCAAATATGCGCAATATGCTCAAATCCTTGTGCGCACTCACATCTTCTTATGCACTGCTGTCAATAAAATGGTTCTTTTTGAAATTACCTTACTTTCAAATAAAAAAGTTGGAGAACACGTAATTTGTAGCAGAATGAACAGAAAAGGAATACAGAAGACGAAGATACGATCACTGGAACAAGACATTTAATGGTCTGACGTTCTGGATTCTCACTCGAATCCATCATCAGAGACATTCGCATATAAAGAAAAGGAATAGTCCAGCATGTTCTATATATGACGTGTTTTAATTTTTAAAGACTTCGAAAATCACTGAGAAATGCTCGCACTAGCTAGTAGCCACTTTTTACAGAGTGCAGCTTTATAAGATGCCAGACAATAGGCCCATACAAAGGCCAGCATCCTAACGTTTCTGGAATATCACGCGATTATGCCGCACGATAATATATTTTATCACTGTAGAGTAAACAGAAATTGAAACTACCAAGAATAAAAAATACTTAATTCTGAATTGGGGATGTTTTGTTTTTTTTCAAGAAGAAGAGCGATGGCTAAAATTGTATAAAAACAGCCAAAGGTAAATAATTGTACAGACTCACGAACAATAAAGCCTTCCTCAGAATTGTTGGCCGTACGATGAATGTTTTGGGTAAAACCCCGAGACGAAGTCCGTTAATGAGGCTTGTCGCTCAGGTGAATTTATGTCCGGTCAAATATGGCCGAAAGATATAAAAGTCAATTGGCTAACATATGTTTTCGGTAAATTCTCATCAGGCCTGTACATTTACAAGGGAAATGATCAGTCTAATTGTCGACAGGGTATAAATGGGTGTCGGGGGCAGTTTCGTGTCGATTTACTAAAAGCGATTGAGGCGAATGAGTGCAATCAACGAAACAATGACACCAAGCCAGCAACAGACAACAAAGTCACGCTTTTTCTCAAACCGAAACCAAGTGTATGTTTTTTTGCTAATTTAAACAACCGTACAGGAACGTTCAGGTGTACAAGAAAGTTTAGAGTGAAAAATCAAAAATGTGCGTAAACCTACAGAGTTTTAACCTATTTTGGTTAGAAAGAGTCGCCCGTTGTGTAGTGTATTGTCCCGGATAGGGACTTTTTGTCGATACCTGCAGACTTTTCATTCTACATCAGTGCATTAGTCGGGTTGTGGTGAAGTACTTGACTACTTGACCTTTGACAATCTTGTCACGTTTGTTTTAACGTGACGAGGACTCCGCCGCTTGTAAGCTTCGCGCCGCTTGCATGCTCTCTGGTTAGGTCGTTCACATTTTGAATATTAACTTTATTCACTTACTGGTCTTCCTTACCTATCTCCGTTTATGAGGTTAGTAAGCCGTAGTCCGTTAGTTCGCGGGAACGACATAACTTGCGTCTTTGGTGAATCCCGACGTTAGCGCAGACGTAAGTTCTTTCCTTCTGTAACACTTAATGACATTTAACGTCCTGTATTTAGTTGCTTAATTTTAGTTCATTTAAATTTCCCTTTAACCTTTTCACGTTATTGTGCTACCTATATTTTGCTTATTATGTCTTCCTCAACTCAACAACCTGACGTTCCTGCCGAGTCTGTTCATGCCGACAATTTCACTTTGCCTGATTTCTGGCAACACACCCATGAACTTTATTTTATCCGCATTGAGTCAGCCTTTTACTCCGCCAACATTACGAAGGAGTCGTCGAAATACCACAACCTTGTGGAGGTTCTCCCTGCCAATATTATCTCACAAGTTCAACCCTTGTTAGTGAAACCCCCTGCATACGATCCCTATTCTGCTCTGAAGGCGGAAATCCTTCGTCTCAATGCTGTATCTGACCGACAACGCTACCACCAGTTGATCAAGGAGGAATCACTGGGCGACCGAAAGCCCTCAGAACTTCTCCGACGAATGCGTACTCTCTTAGGAGACATGCAGGTCGACGAAAAACTCGTTAAAGATATGTTTCTAGGGCGGCTGCCTGCAGATGTCCAAACGATTTTGACATCCGGCTCGCAAGACCTTACACTTTCACATCTTGCTGAAATGGCAGACCGAATGTTAGAGGTTCAACGGTTCCAGCCACCTTCCGTTGCTCAGATTTCCACATCCTCTTCAACGGTTAACGAGCAGTTACTGCGACAGATGTCGGCTATGACGAATGAGATAGCCTCCCTAAAACTACAGCTTGCTCGCATTACCTGTAGTCGCTCACACAGCCGTCATCGTTCACGTTCGCGACCTCGCAGAGCCAATTTGTGTTGGTATCACGCAAACTTTGCCGCCAAGGATCGCAAATGTTCTTCCCCTTGTTCATTTAAACCGAAACAGGGAAACCAGCCAGCCAGAGAATAGACGCGACCGTTTTCTCTGGCTCTCCCAGCTCTGGTCGCACCTTTTATGTCTGCGACAATGTGACTCGCAGGCGTTTCCTGGTGGACACCGGAGCCCAGATCAGCGTGGTTCCCCCCATTCCAGTTGACCACCGCTGTCCCAGCCCTGGTCTACATCTCCAAGCTGCAAACTGTTCCCCTAAACATTGATTTACGTCGATCATTCTCCTGGATATTTGTGATTGCCGATGTGCCTCATGCGATCCTTGGTTCCGACTTCCTAGCCGAGTTTGATCTCCTTGTTGACTGTCGGCGTTCCTGTCTCCTCGACCGCACAACTGGTCTTTTTGTCCGCGGTCTTACACCCTTTAATGACTCCTGCAATCTATCTGGAAGCAGGTATTGCTTGCCCATACCGAGACCTGCTCCTCCAACACTCCAACATAATCAAACCCCAGTTTCGCAGTGATGAGATGCAGCATGACGTTGTCCACCACATTCGCACCTCTGGCCCCCCACTATTCGCACGGCCTAGACGACTGGCTCCGTCCCGTCTGCAAGCGGCGAAGGCCGAATTTGAGCACATGCTGCAACTGGGCATAATTCGGCCGTCCGAGAGTCCATGGGCGTCCCCTCCACTTATGGTGCCCAAGGCGACATCAGACGACTGGCGGCCCTGTGGTGACTATCGCGCCCTCAACAATGCGACCATCCCGGATCGTTATCCCGTCCCTCATCTTCAAGATTTTGGTGGAGCTCTTTTCGGCAAATCGGTTTTCTCGAAGATTGACCTTGTTCGGGCCTTCATCAGATTCCTGTTGCTCCTGAGGATGTTCCCAAAACTGCCGTCAACACACCATTCGGCCTGTTCGAATTTATTCGCATGCCCTTTGGTCTTCGCAATGCTGCCCAAACATTTCAGAGGTTCATTGACCGAGTCCTACGTGGTCTCCCGTTTGTGTACGCCTACATCGATGGCCTCTTGGTGGCCAGTCGAAATGCCGCGGAACACAAAGAGCATCTTGCCTTGGTGTTTGACCGCCTCGATCAGTTTGGCGTGGTCATTAGCCCTTCCAAGTGTGTTCTGGGTGTGCCGTCCCTTGATTTTCTTGGTCACCATGTCGATGCACAAGGTTTGCGTCCCCTCTCTTCCAAGGTTGAGGCCATTCGTGACTTTCCTCCACCAACCTCCAAGCGTCAGTTGCAACGTTTCCTTGGCATGGTAAACTTTTATCGCCGGTTCCTACCGAACTGTGCCGACCTTATGCTGATACTCACCAACCTGCTCTCTGGTCCCAAGGGTTCCCTTGAGTTACATGGCCACGCGCTGACTGCTTTTGAGAGAATAAAGACCTCCCTTGCTGATGCTACCTTGCTCACTCCTCCTGCTCCAGAAGCCCCATTGTCCCTGATGGTTGATGCTTCGACCGTTGCCGTAGGAGCAGTCCCCCAACAGCATATCAACGACTCGACACGACTGTTGGCATTCTTCTCCAAGACGTTTTCACCTGCCGAGACGAGATATAGCACGTTTGGCCGTGAACTTCTTGCCATTCACCTAGCCGTACAACATTTCCGACACTTCCTTGAGGGTCGTGACTTCACAATTTTCACAGACCACAAACCACTTACATTTGCCATCCGATCGCATTCTGACAAATATAACCCGAGAGAGATTTCTCATCTGGATTACATCTCGCAATTCACCACCGTCATCCGCCACATTAATGGCCCGAAGAATGCGGTGGCCGACATGCTGTCCAGACCTTCCCTCTCGGCGTTTCACATCTCACACGGGATTGATCTTAGTGCTATGGCGGCTGAAAAACGACGTGTTGGATGCCCTGGCGACGAATCTGTTGACAGTCTTCAATTAGTTGACATCCCATTGACCACCGGCACTGGCACAATCCTTTGTGACGTATCGACTCCTTTTCATCGCCCTTATGTGCCTGCCTCGATGCGTCGAGCTGTTTTTCAAACTCTCCACGGACTCTCCCATCCTGGGATTCGAGCCTCACAGAAGCTCCTCGCGGAAAGGTTCGTATGGCCTGGGTTAAACAAGGATATGAAAGCTTGGACACGATCGTGCCTTTGCTGTCAACGTACCAAGGTTCAACGCCACAACAAGTCTCCATCGGGCACGTTCCCCAGTCCCGATGCACGGTTCAACCATGTGCATTTAGATGTCGTAGGTCCTTTGACTCCATCCAATGGCTGTACTCACCTTCTCACCTGCGTTGATCGCTATACCCGTTGGTCGGAAGCCATTCCTTTACCGAATGTGCAAGCTGAGACCATTGTGAAGGCCTTCGTCAGTCGTTGGGTCGCCATATTCGGTGCGCCATCCATGATGACGACTGATCGAGGCGCGCAGTTTGAGTCCACACTTTTACAAACTCTCCTCAACTTCCTTGACTGCACACGTATTCGGACGACGGCCTACCACCCAACTGCCAACGGCATGGTTGAGCGTTTCCACCGCCAGCTAAAAACTGCACTGCGTGCCGCAGAAGATCCCGAAAACTGGTCAGACAATGTACTCGTTGCACTTCTTGGCATCCGTGCGGCACTGAAGTCAGACTTGGACTGCAGCGCAGCCGAATTGGTTTTCGGCACTACCCTCCGACTCCCTGGTGAGATGGTCACCCTAACCTCACATGGTGCCGAAGAGGCCCCCGAAAATTTTGTGCATCGTCTGCGACAATTCATGCGCTCGCTTTCCCCGGTTCCACCTTGAGCTCCATCGACCGAGCCTTATGTTGAAAAAGGCTTAGCTAACTGCACCCATGTGTTCGTTCGGTGTGATCGTGTGCGGAAGCCGTTAGAATCACCATATGAAGGACCGTTTCGTGTGCTTGCACGTAACAGCAAGACCTTTCGGATCCTGCGAGGTGACAAAGAGGACGTAGTCAGCATCGACCGGGTCAAGGCTGCTGTTGCAGAGGAGCCCCCGGACGTGTCTCAAGGACAACCATGTGCTGACGCCATACCTCCTCCCACTCCTTTTCCACTTTCCCCACCTATCCGTCAGTCCCGTATACTTCATCTTCCTTCTTGTTCGCAGCATCAAACTGCAACCTCTTCCTCCACCCTTAGCTTGTCCACTACAACACCTACTCAGCTGCCTCCAACAGTGCCTCCCGCATATATCACCCGCAGTGGACGTCATGTTCACTTTTCCGATCGTCTAGTTACTCATTTCTCCTAGACCTTTGTATGTCCTCCGGCGTCGTTCACGCCGCCCTCCGGTCTTGGAGGGGGGTACTGTGCTGAAGTGCTGGACTACTTGACCTTTGACAATCTTGTCACGTTTGTTTTACTGTAGTATTTGTTTTAACGTGACGAGGACTCCGCCGCTTGTAATCTTCGCGCCGCTTGCGTGCTCTCTTGTCAGGTCGTTGCACTGTAACGCCCCTGGACTTGGACAGAGTTGTTTGAATGATGTGACACTTTTGGCGCGCGGACCTGGGATGGAGATGGCGTAAAAAAAAAGAGCAATCTGGACTAGTGTATCGCATTCCGTGTCAAAATTGTCCTTGTAATTACACAGGACAGACTGGACGCATGCTCGGATCGCGCATACACGAACATAAGCTGGCTATGCGGCGAGGCGACGCATTATCACAAGTGGACGCCCACACCTACGAAATGGGTCACGAGTTTGACTTCTCAGCCACCAAAAGAGTCGCCCACGCCGGAAACAAAACAGGCCGAAAATCGATTGAAGCCTGGGCCTCGGATGAGAACTCGGTCAATCGATTTATCGATCTGGCGCCGGCGTACAGAGCCCTTCGTAGTCACCTCCAGTCGTGCGACGTCGGTCGATGATTGGGCCTACGTGCCTTATAACTGCCTCTTGTCCTGTTTCTGCCACTACCTCTGACGATGGACTCCTGTACGAGTCTGAAAGCTCAGGATAATAAACGAAGTATTCTGGTGCTCGACTTTTCTTCTTCACTTATGCATACACCTGGAACTCGAAATTTCGCCTTTATTCGTTAATGAACAGCCTCTTCTAAATGATATCTCCACGGCACCCGAACCAGAGACCTCAACAACAGCCAAGTCCACAATGGTTAATGCCGAAAGTACCCAAAACAGTTAGCAATGCCCAGAAAACCTTTGGATTGGATGGGCCCAACACGGGTAGTGGTAATGAGGTAATTATCGAAACTGCAGACCACCATTCACCACCTTCAAAACCGCGATATAATATGTGTTCTTTTGTCGCCGTCTACTATATTTGGAGCAGCAGACCCCCGCCTCCGGCGATACATCAATCAGTAATACGAACGATATCACCAGAGAACAATGTCTCGTTATCCAGGGGCTCCATGAATCAAACGTCAACACAACTAAAGAGTGGGTTTTGGAGGATCAAACGCTTTTCCAAGGCTTTCTAAATAATATCTTGGAACCCGCTGAGGCAATTGAAATGCTGAAAGCCATCCGACTCGAGGGCGAACAAACAATCAGCCAGAAGCAACACGTCCCCGACCTCTCAAAGTTGCGCCGGCCTGTAAGGAACAAGCCGGGTTGATTCTCTCTCGACGGTTTATAATAAAAGGCACCAACGCCAGCGTCTTTTTTCAACCGGATTACTCGCCAGTAGAGAGACACTGAAACGTCGTCTTCTTGTTCTAGAGCTGAAGAAGAGAATCAGCGAAGGAGAACGCAATTTGATTATCTACAACAACCAAATCAGACAGCGTTCAAAGTTGTGCTGGACTGTTGATTCTCTCTCGGTGCTTTAGAATAAAAGGCACCAACCCCGGCGTCTTTTTTCAACCTGATTACTCGCCAGTAGAGAGACACTGAAGAAGAGACGCAGCGAAGGAGAACGCAATTTGATTATCTACAACAACCATATCAGACAGCGTTCACCATTCTTTTTTTTGGACGAGCCCAGTTCGGATGACAATACAGCTAACATGGTGTGCGAAATTTCGAGACGCACCGAGACCACTTCGCCGACGGCCATAAATCGCCGACAGAAAGTCCTGTAAACAAATGTGCAGGGCATGTTATTGAAAGTGGATGAGCGAAACATCCATCTTTCAGATCTATCCCCAGATGTAATCTGACTTAGAGAACCTTGGTTGAATCAACAGGTGGACAACCGTGAGTTAACTATACCAGGATACCAGTTGTTTAGACGATACATGCCAGGACGTAAGTGAGGAGGCGTGGTCACGTATGTGAAACATGGGCTCATCGTTTCAGACAGAACAGACGAATCTGCGCGTACTGCTGAGGAAATTTGACTAACTGTAAAAGCACCAGGCTCACCAAGCCTCAACGTCCTGACAGTTTTCTGACCGCCTAGAAATGACGAAACGTCTGGAATCCACCAAATCTGATACAGTAAGTTGACTGTCCAAGCAGGATTTCCTAAATAATTCACCTAGAATCCACCAGACGACTATTAGGTCCTCGTTATTCATAGATGTTTTGGCAGATTTTGAAAAAAACACATTGATCCAGCTGTGAAAATCTCGGCACCTCGGCGGGATTCAAATCCACTTAATAAGGGGAATGGCTTTAGTACAGACAACGCTCTATCCACTTGAGCTACGAGACCCCGCCGGACGACGCGAGTTTAATCACATGTGGGTCAAGTTAAAGGCCCAACCTACTACAACGTCTGGAATCCACCGAATCTGATAGAGTAAGCTGAATGCTGTTCTGATTGTGGATGCCGGTCTATAAGCCACACCAATCACAAAATATTTCAGGATTCTTGACGCCGTCTCGGAAACATTCTCCACATAGGGGATCGACAGCCAGAATCTTGGCTTCTCACAATCGACTGTCCAGAGTGGAATTTCCTGAGACAATTGCGTATGAACGACTTCGGGTAACTGTTGTCTTCAAATAGGGCATTTAGGTATTTTACCTCCTTCTTCCTGTCGTCTTCATTGCTACAGTTAGTTTGGGCGCGTTGACAGAGGGTCCTGACACAACTGTTTCTGTGACCGATGGGGTGGTTGCTTTTGAAGTGGAGGATGCGCCTAGTGTTAGTTGCCTTACGGTAAACCGTCGCCCCCATATTCCCGTCTGCCATTCTTGTAACTTGTACATCAACGAAGGGCAACTGATTGTGGGCTTCTTCCGCCGTGGTAAACTAGAGGTCGGGAAAAATTGAATTCAACAGTGCTTTTAAAGCCTGTACGACATTTATTTTTATTATGACAAAAGTGTCGTCGACATATTTAGCCCAGAACTTCAGCAGGTAAGAGGTTAATAGTAGCTGCTTGAGCCTCTGTAAAACCGCCTCAGCAATTAGTCCAGACAGAGGCGAGCCTGTCGGCGTTCCCTTCCTTTGTTCGTACACTTGGCCATTAAATGCGAAGAAAGTCTTGAGACACAAATCCAGGAGCTCAAGTGCGTGCGTCCGCTTGAACTGATGATCGGTCTCGTCATATTTCTATCCGAGAAGACTGTCGACGGTGTTGATGGAACTCTTAACCGAGCCATATAACTACATCCCGCCTACCAGGCGCTCCGCACACAGCTGAGTTCAGCCAGCCAGGAGGGGTGAAAGAAATCACATGGGGCCGACTGCCGACACGTGCGGAGGAAAGCGAATGCGCCGACCGGAAGTCAGTTGACACTATCTCACGAACGCACCCGCGACGCTGAAACCACCACACCGCAGCAGCAATGGTAGACCGGTCCACCGTCTGACGTGGGGGAGGCCGATGAGCACGCTGACTCAGCGGCGACCGCGACAGCCGCGAAAGGGGCGCAAGCCACACAAGTCCACCAATGGTCGAAATCAGAAAGGCCAGAACCAGCTAGCTGCAAATAGGCCAGCCAACACACGTGCATTGAGCGCGGTTATAATACGAGACAGGAGGCAAAGCTGAACAAATCAAGGTCAGCAGGAAAAGCCAGCGAGTGACTCTGATGATGGAAACGAGAGAGTTTCCGAAACGTCAGTAAACGACAGTAAATAAAACCTGCCTTATGAAATCGCCCTCACTTCTTCGTCTTCTTCGGGGGATGATAAACATGAAAATATATATGGACCTTGAATCTAAACGCATACTTGAACACAAACTGGCAGTTATAAGGCGAGACCACCTGTCTCAAATGGCCACGAACACGCTACACACTGGACACACCTTTGCATGAGACTAAACTCGCGTCGTCGGAGTTGCCCCTCTAAAAAGGCCGACAATTTCTCGAAGCCATGCGCTACGATGAATCATGCATCAATCGATACATTGCGTTAGATGTCACGTGCAAAAATCTCAGGGAAAAGTGGAGGAGAAGAGAGCCAATCAGTACCGAATGACTCCCACGGCGGTCGCTTACTGTTGAAAAGGCCGGAGTGATATCGATTTTCAGCATGTTTGAAATGTTAATTGTTTTTTACACATTTGCTCAAGTCTGACGACGACCTGGGGAACCAGCGTTAAAAAGTTACTTAGAATGTGTTCCACTTTTTTCAAAGAACTTGCTTGCCTTCAAAAAATATTCCTATATGTAGATTTATTAGAAGAGGCGATCTCGGGAACCATGGTTTTATCGTCCTAACGTTTCAAAAGCAGACAAGCTTTCATCGTCTTCCGTATAATTAACACCGTGTTAACATGACTGTTATCCCTCACCCCGTCTATGAATACTGCGTGACGCCGTGCAATACTCACCTCCAACGATGAAACCTTGTCGGCTTTGGAAACGTCAGAACAATAAAACCATGGTTGCCGAGATCGCCTCTACATCTCATTTATGTACGGGGACTCGAATATTTGCTTCTATCAGCAATATATATATATATATAGTGGTAGGGGGCGCTCACCGATCGTTCATACGGCACTCACTCGTTCCGTGGTGCCTTAAGGGCTCTCTCTCGAGCGTAACCAGCAGCCGCACAGCGGCGCATGATATATAGGCAGAATGGTATTACCGACAAAGTCAAGGGAGACTGGAATGGCCATTTCTGGCTTATTAGCCGTCGTCAGCCAGCCATACCCAAGCCCGAGGTGTGGAACACCGGAGCCTCGAACTCGCGACCTGTTGGATTAGAAGTCCACTGCTCTACCCACCGGGCCTCGAGCCCGTTGCCCTGTCTGTGCCCCGTTGCCCGATCATTGAGCGCCCCCTACCACTGTATATTCCGATCGAAAACCAACAGGGCAACGGGCTCGTGGCCCGGTGGGTAGAGGCGTGGACTTCTAATCCAACAGGTCGCGAGTTCGAGGCTCGGGTGTTCCACACCTCGGGCTTGGGTATGGCTGGCTGACGACGGCTAATAAGCCAGAAATGGCCATTCCAGTCTCCCTTGTCTTTGTCGGTAATACTATTCTACCTATATATCATGCGCCGCTGGCGGTCAATCTAAACCATTACCGGTACACGAAAACGCAAAGCAATTGCACATATTCTACTCAAAATGCGACAGGGCGGACGAGCCAAACCGTAGTGGTACCTTGCTATTCCCCTAATAATAAATTCCTCGAATCTGAAGGCCTTCATTCTGTGGAAATAAACATACCCCTGAGATGGATGTCACTTGCGTAGCTCTATGAAACACTATTCTACGATAGTGCCAACTTGCCTTTTTGGAGATGAGAAGACGATATACTTTCCTCTATTTGTTCCTCTTCCTCTTCCTCAAAAAATAACTTCCCAGGACAGCATTAATAGCATTCTGGGGGGTCTCAGCACTGCTGCTCTTTCGGCAGCTCAGAATGAAACCGACTTCTTCGATGATGAGCGATTTTTGTGCCTAAAGTCAGGTCGTCAAAATATCGTTCAAGGAAGATCTGGAATATATAAGATAGAGAAGTTACAGCTCTGATTTAATATGTCGCGATAGGGTAATTGAATAAAGACTCAATTGAATTTCCTGTGATCGAAGAGGAGCCCAAAATACTGAAATACGTTTTCGACTACGAAGGATTACTTAAGCGGTGTTGTAAAATTGATTATCCCGCGGCATAATCCTATACTATTTTGAATGTGTTAGGCGTTCGGCTCTTGAATGTGCTTATTTTCGACCCTATTCATAAACCCACTCGGTAAAACGGTGATTACATAAGTAATATGCATGTTTTTCATTGAGTTTTGATAGTCTTGTAAATTCAGAAGTATTTTGTAAAAACCATGCAAAAGAACATGGCATCGTTCACCCTTTTGGTAGAAAATCACATTGTCTTTTCATCTTATATTCTAAGAAAGGTTATGTTTTGGTTCTAAAAATGTTGCTAATTATGATATTTTTAGGATCGTGCGATGTCCACACATACAACATCGCACATGTCCATTTGCTTTTGGTCTTCATGAAGTATACGACACAGTCCACATCCATTGCAAAATTTTCTGAACTCTATATGGTATCTTCGTAGAGACACAGAGTAATATACGATTTTCATTAGGCGGAAAACATGCACCATGTAGACTGAAATCGCCAAACCATAGTGTTGACGGCTGATTTGCCTCAAAATTGTTTAGGAATTAGGAAAACTTCCCAAAACCTAAGTCTGCACCTTGTTCAGGTATAAACTGTGAAGACAATATGATTTTCTAACAAACGGAAAAAAGAAATACATTGGAATATACAAGACCAACGAAAATCCATGTGAAAAATGCATGCAAATTAAGTAGTCGTTTTCTACCGAGTGGGCTTCTACGTCGAAAAGAAGTACATGCAAAAGCCTACATACTGGCGCGTGATTATGCCGCATGATAATCAATTTAGAATCCCATTTGAGTAATCCTTCTTAACCGATAACGAATTTCAGAATTTCGGCCAACATTTCAGGAGATCGGTCAGGCACAGTATTTAATTTGATGACGCTATTTGTTGTTAATTAGACTCTGCAATCCACTATAACAAAATTAGTGGACCATAGTGGAGTTCGGCCGCGGCGGCACAACTGAGCAGTCATATTTATGGTGACACTTCTCGCACAGAGGGGGAGGGGCTAGAGAAGGTGCAGGGGAACCAATTCGTCTGCTGGCTGACCGTGGTCGCAGACGCTAAACTCACGGTCGAAACAACACCACCACCAACTACAAAAACAACAATACGCTCTCCCTCTTCCTCCTCCTGCCTCTTTTTCCTCGTCTGCATCGTATTCTTCTTTTTCTTCTCTCCCTCCTTCCCGCCGCCCCACTCGCCAGTCTGGCAGGTTGAGCCCGCCCACTCTGGCAGCCTGAAATGTACGTTCCCTTTTAGAAAATCCGAGGAGCGACCGACCGGAACGGAGGACAGCGCTAGTGGCTCGGGAACTGGCGCGCGAGACCCGGTTCTCCGAACAAGGTCAACTGGAGGAGATGGGTGCCGGCTACACCTTACTCTGGAGCCGTCGCTCTAGGGCAGAGCGACGGAACGTGGGTGTCGCCTTCGCTATCCGGAACGACATCGTGGGACGATTGCCCCGCCTGTCACCGGGTATCAACGATCGCCTGATGAGCCACCGTCTGCCTCTCCTCAAAGCGAAATTCGTCACCATTATCAGCGCCTACGCTCCGCCGGTGACCAACCCTGACGCTGCAAGAGACAAGTTTTACGAGGACCTGCACGCCCTCATGGGTCTGTGTCAAAGTCGAACAGGTTGATTGGCCTTAATGACTTGGTGGCCGTTCGCGTCTCCTTGCCCTCCGCCTTTGTCGCGCTGCCTTCCTGTCCGCCTTACACTCCCTGTCAAGTCGCTGCTGAGATGCGCGTGGCTTATCACCAGCCTCGCGAGTGCTCCCGGCTAACGGACGCGGAGACAACGAAAAGCGCAAACACGCCCTGGGTCTCAGCACCTCGAAGGCGGACACAAACAACAACTGGCCTGGAGAGCGCGCTTGTGGCGATTGCCCACAGAGCCTTTGTGCACCCACTTCCGGAACAGTAAAGGTTGTTCGACTCACTCCGTCCCCCCTGACTTTTGATTGGGAATCTTTGTCTTGTCGACTACACAACTTTTGACAATAGGTGACTCCCTTGCGAACAGCCGTCCTTCTTCTTCCGAATCTACGATAAATTCAGGCGTTTATAATGGACAATTTTCCACCGGAAGTGTAGCATATTTTAGCACCCGACTTCGGCGTTCTTTCGGCCACGCAACTTACTCAGATGGCCGATCGGCACGGTTTTTCTAAACCATTTATTTCAGCACTCTCAACTTCCGCAAATTCTCCTGCGTCTCCCATTTTGCTCAGCAAGCTAGCCGATGATATAGCTTCACTCCCCCCCCTCATTTCGGAGTCAACCGAAGCCGTCCACCCTGCATGTCCAGTTTTCACATTCAGCACGTTCAAAGACAGCTGCCACCTGCCTGATCACATCAAGTTTGGTGTTAAAGCCCATCGCTGCATCTCCCCCTGTTCTTCAACTTCAAGCAGGGCAAACGGGTAATACCGGTCGACCGGAAGGTCAGTGTAGCCAATCTTCCCGACAGCTCTAACCATGGTCGCACATTTTACATCCGCGACACCCGGAGTGGCAGACGTTCCTTGGTTGACACTGATGCCCAGCTAAGTGTCATTCCACCCACACCAGCTGATCGTCAGTGCCCCAATCCCATTTTTTTCCTACAGGTCGTCAACACATCACCGATTACCACATTTGGCACCTGCCCCCTCTCTCCGGACATCGGTCTCCGGCGTCTTTTCCCCCGGGGGTCATCGTCGTCTCTGACATCCCCTGTGCCATTCTCGGTGCAGATTTCCTCGCCGCTTTCGATCTTCCGGTCGACTGCCGTCAGTCATGTCCACACGACAAGACCACCAACCTCACAGTCCTGGGTATCAGTCAGTATCAGTCAGTATATTTGGAGGAAACGACAGAAGCTCTAAAAACTCCATTTAGAGGGTACAGATATAAGGTAAAATAGTTAAATTACAAAGCTTTTGCTTGTAGTTTTAGTACGGAGAATTCATAAATCTAATAATGTAACATAAAGGCGAAAGGAGTATTATATTCGCGAAGTAATTGCGAAAATCTTTGTTCACCGCATTCGGACTGTGAAAATTTAAATATGGACTAAGTTTGACGCACAAAATAGGACCTGTTGAAATCCTGCTAGTAGTATATTTATAGTCATTTCAGTAATCCATTAGATCAGGCTTCGGCAGTTCGGGTTGCCTTTTAGCAGGTAAGTATCCAGTTGTCTCTTGAACATGGTCACGATAGGAGAATAAACAACAAACTCCGGCAAAGAGTTCCATTGGCGAATGACCCTATGTGAGAAAAAGGAGGAGCGTTGATTTGTGTGGCACAGTTCCCTTTTAAGCTGGTAATCATGTCGTCTGAGATTGGACTTGGGTGTCATTTCAAAAAACGTTTCCCAGTCGACGTCCAGATTAAGTCCTTTTACCAACTGGAACGTTGCTATGAGGTCACCTCTGCCCTGCCTATAGTGGAGGGACTAGAGGTTCAAGGCCGTCAGGCGCTGCTCGTACGTGAAGTATTTGAGGCCATGAACAGCCTTTGTAGCACGCCGTTGTACACCTTCAAGGATATCTATATCCTTCCGAAGCCACGGCCGCCAAGCCCGTACCGCATATTCCAGGTGCGGCCGAACAAATGTCCGTATACTTTGCCAAAGGCATCTTTATTTAAGTGTGTAAACGTTCTGCGTATCGCCCTCATAACGGGCATTGCCCGCGCAGCGACTTTAGAACACTGCGTGGTGACGCTTAGATCATCTTTAATGAATACACCGAGATCTTTTTGCACATCTACGGTTTTATGTGGTTGATTGTCCAGGAGATACTGTCCTGAAGGTGAATTTGTTCTTCGCCTCGCTGATACTACGTGCATTACTGCACATTTTTGACGTTGAATTTCATGCACCTTTTCTCGCTCCATGCGTGCAAATTCCCTACGTCCTCTTGTAGTATCTTGACGTCACCTTCATATTTTATCGCTCTCCAAAGTTTAAGATCGTCTGCAAAGAGCGCTATGTCCGATTTCACCTCCAGTACTGGGTCATTTACATAGATAATGAATAGGAGCGGCCCAAGAACTGACCCCTGTGGGACTGCACTTGTAACGGGTGCCCATTCTGAGCAGTAGCCGCCCGTAGTGACTTGTTGTCGCCGTCCGTTTAGAAAATCTTGAATCCAGTTCAGAAGATTTCCTCTTATCCCTACTTCTGACAACTTTTGAAATGTTCGCTCCCTTTTAGACAATCCATGGAGCGAGCGACCGGAACGGACGACAGCGATAGTGGCTCGGGAACTGGCGCGCGAGACCCGGTTCTCCGAACAAGGTCAACTGGAGAAGATGGGTGCCGGCTACACCTTACTCTGGAGCGGTCGCTCTAGGGCAGAGCGACGGAACGTGGGTGTCGCCTTCGCTATCCGGAACGACATCGTGGGACGATTGCCCCGTCTGCCACAGGGCATCAACGATTGCCTGATGAGCCACCGTCTGCCTCTCCGCAAAGCGAAATTCGTCACCATCATCAGCGCCTACGCTCCGCCGGTGACCAACCCTGACGCCGTAAGAGACAAGTTTTACGAGGACCCGCACGCCTTCCTGGGTCTGTGTCAATGGCGAACAGGTTGATTGGCCTTAATGACTTGGTGGCCGTTCGCGTCTCCTTGCCCTCCTCCTCTGTCACGCTGCATTTCTGTCCGCCTCACACTCCCTGTCAAGTCGCTGCTGAGATGCGCGTGGCTTGTCACTAGCCTCGCGAGTGCTCCCGGCTAACGGACGCGGAGACAACGAAAAGCGCAAACACGCCCTGGGTCTCAGCACCTCGAAGGCGGACACAAACAACAACTGGCCTGGAGAGCGCGCTTGTGGCGATTGCCCACAGAGCCTTTGTGCACCCACTTCCGGAACAGTAAAGGTCGTCCGACTCACTCCGTCCTCTCTGACTTTTGATTGGTAATCTTTGTCTTGCTTGTCTTCCTTGCTGCGAAACACTTCCGGCACCTTTTGAGAACAGGAACTTCACTATCTTCACGGTTAGCAAGCCCCTTTTCTTCGCTCTCAAGCCCACGTCTGATAAGCTCAAACCCCGGGAGATTCGCCAACTGGATTACATCTCACAGTTTACCTGAGACATCTGCCACATCGACGGGTCACGCAATGAGGTGGCTGACGCACTGTACAGGCCCTCCATTGTTCATCTTCAGCTTTCACCCGGGATAGACCTCGCTGAGATGGCCGCTGAACAACGCCGTGTCGTTTCACCCTGTGATGAGGATGTTTCCAGACTTTAACTTCAGGAACTACCACTAATAACTGGGAACGACAGCATTTTATGTGACGTATCCACCCCTTTCCATCTTACGTTCGTGCCACCATCCCTCCGTCGCAATGTCTTCTTCTCCTTGCACAATCTTTCTTACCCTGGCAGTCGAGCTACCAACAAGGTGGTTTCCGACCGCTCCGTCTGACCTGGAATGTACAAGGATCTGAAAGCATAGACACGGGCGTGTCTCGACTGTCAACGGAATAAGGTGCAGCGGCACAACAAAGCTCCCATTGGCACCTTCCCTACTTCGGACGCACGGTTCGGTCACGTTCACCTGGACATCGCAGGCCCCCTGCCTCTTTCCAATGGCTGTTCCTATTTCCTTACCTGCATGGATCGATTCATCCGGTGACTGGAAGCTATTCTCCTGCCTGCCGTTGCTGCACCAATGGTCGTTAAAGCTTTTCTCAGTCGTTGGGTTGCCATTTTCGGTGTTCTCTCCACTATCACGACTGACCGCGGTGCCAAATTTCAATCTAATTTCTTCCAGTCTCTTCTCTTCTTTTTGGCTGTACTCGCATTCGCATTACAGCCTATGATCCGACAGCCAATGGGATAGTCGAGCGGTTTCACCGTCAGCTGAAGGCCTCCCTACGCACCGCGGCCGATGCGGAGAACTGGACGGACCACCTCCCCTTATTCCTGCTGGGCATTTGCTATTTCCTCATATCGGACGTTGACTGTTTTGCTGCCGAACTCGTGTTTGGTGCAACCGTCCGACATCCCGGTCAGATGATCTCGCCAACCTCGCTAGTTGCATTTAAGAATCCTACCAACCTCCTGCATCGCCTTCGGCAATTCATGCGGACAATTTCCCCGGTTTCGCCCAGGCCATCTAACTCCGACTCTTACCTCGAAAAAGACTTTGCGGCATGCTCTGATTTGATCGAGTCCGCCGGCCCCTGGAATCACCCTACGACGGCCCCATCCGAGTTATCTCTCGTGGGACGAAGAACTTCCGCATCCACCACAGAACTCGCGAGGAGGTCGTGAGCATGGACGGTCTTAAAGCTGCCGTCCCGGACACCCCTCCGGATGAGCCCTGTGATCCCCTACTCCTGCTCCACCTCATCGACCATCTGCTACCATGCCCGCAACTCCCAACTGCAAATCCCCATTCACCAACCAACAACATTGTGACCGCGAGCCATACTCATTCTACCCCTGTGCCCTCTGTATATATCAGTTATAGTGGACGTCATATCATTTTCCTGACCGTTTGGTTACTCATGTTTTTCAGACATCAACAAGTCCTTCGGCGACGCTAAGCGCCACCTTGGGTCTAGCCCATGGGTCCTGTGAAATTTCTCGTCTCCTTGCCCTCCGCGTTTGCCACGCTGCATTCCCGTCCGCCTCACACTCCTTGTCGTTAAGCTGCTGGGACACGCGAGGCTTGTCGCTAGCGTCGCGAGGGCTCCAAGCCAACCAACGCTGTCCCACCTCAGATTGGCTGGCGGACGCGGAGACAACGAAAGGAGAACACATGCGCTGGGCCTCAGAACATCGAAGGCTGACACCGACAACAACACGCATGGAGAGCGCGCTCATGGCGACTGCCCACAAAGCCTTTGTGTACGCACTTCCTAAACAGTAAAGATGGCCCAAATCACTCAGATTTCCCTGAATTATAATTGGGAATTTTTGCCTTGACGACCACACTACTTCCGAAACAACTATAATAGTAATATATAACTTTTTGCCGATACAAGCGAAGATGCGAGTTCCAGGAACTAGTTGATCAGAAGACGAAGCGATCAGTGGAACAATGACTTTATTCGCCTGACGTTTGGGATTCTCTCTTGAATCCATCATCAGAGACAGTTGCAGAAAAGGGTGGCTAGTGTACAGGAAGTCGCAGTATTTATACGATGCGGTCGCCATGCTACCGCATACCTACAGCAATTAACCGTGCTCCCTTCATCAAGGATTGTTGCCCGCTGGTGCGCTAATTGCTTGATGGCCGGCATGCAAGTTGTTAATTGCTGACATCTCATCACCCGTGTTGGATGCTGGCGTGATGATTGCTCGGTCATCTGGCACACCGGCTTGCGCGCTCCTCGAGTGGTCAATTGCTTTGGCCAGTCTATGCCTCACGACAGAATATGGAGTGGGGATGTCGTTGCACTTGTTGATAGACTGAGGTCCCGTGAACCATGACTCAAGCAACTCGCGGCTCACGCGATTATCCCCTCTCGCGAGAATTTCGGCCTCATCGAACTTGAATGTGTGGCCGGGTCTCGTTGAATGGGTCGCGACCTCAGAGTTGGCGTCATTTCTCCGTACAGCTGCCACGTGTTCGGCGATTCGCGTCCGGAGCAGTCTTCCAGTTTCTCCGACGTAGTTGCTTTGTCCGCAACTGCACCAGATCCGGTAAACGACTCCAGATGTTTCTTGCCGTGGCAGTGGGTCTTTTGGTCTCATCACTTGACGCCTCATGGTGGCCTCCGGTCTGTGCGCAACTCCAACCCCAAGTGGTGCAAGAAGGCGGCTAACGGCCTCGGAGACGTTCTTGATGTACGGGATCGATCGCCAGAATTTGGGTCGGCGCGATTTTGTCGCTCGTCTCGTTTACGCAGGCACCGGTTGACGAAGTTGCGCGGGTAACCGTTTTCTCGGAAAACCCGTCGAAGATATTGGGATTCGGCAACCTTGTCTTCCGGTTCACTGCAGTGCGTCTCAACACGCCGAAATAGCGTTCTTACGCAACTGCGTTTGTGGCTAATTGGGTGGTTACTGTTGAAATTCAGAATTTGCGTCGTGTTCGTTGCTTTTCTGAACACTTTGGTCTTTAGACCACCACAATCTTTGCGACAGACGAGGACATCAATGAATGGCAGCTGGTTATCCTCTTCCTCCTCCATCGTGAATTGAATGTCCAGGAAGACGCTGTTGAGACGCTCTTTGAACGTTAGCACCTGATCCCGTTCGATGACGACGAAGGTATCGTCCACATACCGAGCCCAGAATTTTGGTCTGTGGTGTTGGAAGACCAGCGACTCCAACCGCTGTAGCACCGCCTCGGCGATGAATCCCGAAATCGGCGAGCCCATTGGTGTTCCCTTCACTTGCTCGTAGATTGTTCCATCAAACATGAAGTACGTCCTGAGACAGAACTTTAGGAGCTGAAGGACTTGGGCATGTCCGAGACGATTCTCCGTTTCATCGTATTTGTTTCGTAGGTGTAGCTGGACGGTCTTGATTGCCAGATCCTGGGGGATAGAAGTAAAGAGGGACGTGACATCAAAAGATACCATGACCTCATTGGGCAAGAGACTTACTCCTTTAAGCTTCTCCAGGAATTGCGTTGACGAACAGACCGTGGTGTCCGAATCAGCGGTCAGAAATTTGAGACGTCGAAACAGCCATCTTGCCAGTCCGTACGTTGGAGTGCCTTTGAGCGATACAATGGGCCGGAGAGGAGCGCCCTACTTGTACACATTTGGGAGACCATAGAATCGGGCCAAAGCCGTTTCTTGGGCTCTCGCCATGCGTCGGTCGGTCGCTGTTATTGCACCCGAGTTCTCCAGTGCCAACAGTGTTGCATTAATTTCGCGTGTCAGCGTTTTTATGGGGTTGGTTTCACATGGGGCATAGAACTGGCGATCCTCCAGTAGGTTGTTGGCTTTCTGAAGGTAGTCTGTTCTGTCCAGTACGAACGTGGAACGCCCCTTGTCCGCGGGCACAATGACGATGCCCTTGTCGGCCTTGAGTTCTCTAAGTGCATCGCGTTCGACCTTTGTGAGTGTTTCGCGCGGCTTGTGAGTCATAAGGAGGGACGTAACTTTGTGTCGGATAAGGTTCTTCGTCTCCTCCGCCGCTTCCGTCTGATTAATGACCGATTCCACTGCTGCAATCATGTTGACAGGTTTGGCGTCAGCTGTGTTGAATGAGGCTTCGTGCCATGAAACCAGTGCTTGCTCCTTCGTCAGTTCCTTTGACGACAGGTTGTGTACCAGTGTGCCGCATCTGGATAACGTTGGATCGGGCAGTTTGTGGAATTTGTTCCCCAGTGCTGCATCGCGTGTTGCTATCTGCTCGCGGGCTCGTTCAGGCACTTCCTGCTGAAGCAGATTTGTACCGTTCTCACCCATGAAATCGCAGCATCTGGCGATCACTTAGTCAATTCTTTGACGGTATTTGAGTAGTCTCGCATGGCAATCTTGAAGGAGCACGCGGATCATACGTCTTCCGTGCTGAAGTACTGCGCGTCTCGCTAGCTCTGTGTTGACGGGAGGTTTGTATGAAACACACTTCGGCAGCACATTGTTGTCGAGACACCTGTTCCGAACTCGAATATGCGCATATGTAGACGACTCTCGAAGGGCAAAGCTTTCCCACCGTCGAGCCGATCAGAGCGCTTCGCACCCAAAAACATTGCTGATAGAAGCGAACGGGCGAGTTCCAGGTAGCAGGTCAGAAGACAAAGATGCAAACACTGCAACAAGAAATTTATTTGCCTGACGTTTCGGATCCTCACTCGAATCCATCATCAGAGACATTCGCAGATAAAGGTGATAGTGGCACCAGGAGTGCAGTATTTATAGCACGTGGCTGTCGTGGGACCGTATGTGCACTGCAATTAACAGTTCACGCAATCACCGCTGGGGTCGTAGTCGATGCAGTGGTGGCTTGACGGCCCGAGTCCGAGTCGTTAATGGCCGTGATTTCGTCATCCGCGCTGGATGCTGTCAATCACGGATTGGCAAATACCGTCAGAAGATTGACCAAGGGAAAGTAAGGTGCTGCGAGTTCATGGGCGAGAACGGCACAAAACTGCTTCAGCAGAGGCTGGCCGAACGAACCCGAAAACATAAAGCAGCGCGCGAATCAACCCTAGAGAGCAAATTTCGTAAGCTGCCTGCTCCAATATCATCGAAGAACGACAAACTCCTGCACAATGTGTCGTCCAAGGAGCTGACGGAGGAACAAATGCAAGTTTTACGGCATGAGGCCTCATTTAACACAGCCGAGGCCAAACCTGCCAAAATGATCGCAGCAGTGGAATCAATCCTCAGCCGGAGGGGATCGACAGACGAAACGAATAACCTCATTTGACATCAAGTGTCCTCCCTTCTCATGGCTCATAGGCCGCGCGACGTGCATTCCAAGGTCGAGCGCGATGCACTTAAGGAACTCAGAGCTGACAACGACCTCGTTATCGTGCCTGCGGACAAGGGGCGTTCAACGGTCGTATTGGTTAGGACAGCCTACAATCAAAAGGCCAAAAGCTTGACACGCGAGATTAACGCGACTCTGTGGGCAATGGAGAACTTAGGTGCAATATTGCCAATCAACCGACGCATGGCGAGAGCACAAGTAACGGCCCTAGCCCGATTCTACGGTCTCCCAAAAGTGCACAAAGAGGGCGCTCCTCTCCGGCCTATCGTACCACTAAAGGGCACTCTAAACTACGGACTGACAAAGTGGCTGTTCCAAGGTCTCAAGTTTCTGACCTCCGATTCGAACACTACAGTCAGCTCGTCAAGACAATTCTTAGAGAAACTTAAAGGCATGCTTTTAGAGAAAATTAGCACTTTTAATAGAATATTTAGAAACATGATGCTCTATACACAGTCATTTAGACGAAAAACAATTTTTTCTGCGCTAATGAGGATGCAGATGGAGTCTTGCATAACTTTTTAATTTATATGTTTAAAGGTCACGGCTTGTCAGTGGAATGAAAATATTGATTACGTTGTATGAAATCAAGTAAACCCTAAATATGAACAACATTCAAATATTTTAAAATAATGTTTTTTGCTCATTTGTCAGTCAAAACCATCCGGCTGCATTAACTTTTTGCACAATGACCGTTTGCCAAACAACGAATAGTTTTCCATTTTGTAAAATTGCAATTTTGCCCTTTAAATGTTTGTGTATATCCGAAGAAGCAATCCATATGTAGTCCGAGCTATGTATTATTTCGGTATACGAGAAAATGAAAGTGCGGTCACTGAAAGATCGGAAATTCATAAAGTTCAGTAAATAAATTCATCTCCAACGTATAACCCTTTTGATGCACAGATAAACGTCCTTGGGAGGCGTTTCGCAGATGCAAGCAAATTCGGCCGATAGAAGTGGGAATGTGAGTCACTGGAAGCAGCTGCAAATAAGATGCGACCGTTGTGACAAGAGCTTTACTTGCCTGACGTCAGAGAGAGCATCACATACGTATACGTCCTGTACGTATTTGTGGGATGCAGTCGCTACTATCCTGCTAGGCTACTTATGAGCCCTGTGGTCCCCTACTCGCTGCTCCACCTCCTTGACCCTCTGCTCCCATGTCCGCAACCCCCAACTGCAACTACCCCCTCATCTACCAACAACACTGTGACCGTGAGCCATACTCACTCTAAACCTGTGCCTTCTGTATATATCACCCGTAGTGGACGCCATGTTCACTTTCCTGACCGTTTGGTTACTCATGTTTTTCAGACATCAACAAGTCTTTCGGCGTCGCTAAGCGCTATCTTCGGTCTGGCCGGTGAGTACTGTGACAGTTCGCGTCTCCTTGTCCTCCGCGTTTACCACGCTGCCTTCCTGTCCGCCTCACATTCCTTGTCGATACGCTGCTGGGACACGCGAGGCTTGCCACTAGCCTCGCGAGTGCTCCAGGCCAATTAACGCTGGCTGGCGGACGCGGGGACAACGAAAGGAGAACACATGCGCTGGGACTCAGCACCTCAAAGGCGGACACAAACAACAACTTGCCTGGAGAGCGCGCTCGTGGCGACTGCCCACAGAGCCTTTGTGTACGCACTTCCTGAACAGTAAAGATTGCCCAACTCACTCCGTTTTCCCTGACTAATGATTGGGAATCTTTGTTTTGTCGACCACACAACTTCTGACAAAACTATAATAGTCACATATAACTTTTTGCCGAAAACACTAGACTCATAAAACCTGTTTCAGAATTGATCTCTTTAACCGAGCGCATATGTGCCTCTGTCATTCAGCGCATGATATCGGGTCTGCTAATATGGCAAATATTTCAGTCATTCGGATATCAGATTACTTAGATCTTCTGCACTAAGATAACTGAAAGAAATATTTTCTTCAGACTTCTAAACAAAAATATTCATATCTTTCTCCTCTGACATTAACGTCACATAGAGAGCATTACAAACGTATAATTTCTGTACAGTATTTGTGGGATCCTACTATATCACAAGGCTCTGAATACTACACGCCCACATGGAGGACGATTGCCCTTGTTACAATAATGACTTGAAGGCCTGCAATCGATTCTTGACCGCCAAAATTTAATCACTCCTGTTGGATTTTAGCTTGATGATTACTCGTCTTATGGATCCTGGTGTTGCGAACCGTTATCGATGGCAGCAGTTCAGAAGAAGAGGCGAAAGCTGGGTCAAGAGGTTTACTGGCCTGATGCTTCGGAATCTCATTTTAACTCATCCTCACAAACAGTCGCAGGTAAGGCTAATGAGGACACAAAAAACAGAGTATTTATAGAACTCAATTACCATGCAACGACATGCGCTCCATGAATGGCAGTTCTCTCATTAATCGGCGGGGTTCGTATTTCATCTGAGTATCGCTTGATGATCAGCTTCTGAGATGCCAGTCGCCAGAATGTAACTAGCCTTGCTTGTTCTTGGTGTGACAATTACTTGGTAATCCGGCTCACTACACTGGAACTGTTGGTCGTCCGTCCACTCCACGCGCGCCAAATTAGTTTGTCCAACCAAAATCTCAGCATATAATATAGAGCCAGAAAGTTACATTGCTTTACATTTATTTCTTAGGGTCTGGCAGTAGGGACCGTCGAATCACTCCTGCAAAAAGTGCGCGGAAACGGTGAAGTGCCTCGAAAATACCCATCTCCTTCAACTCTTGAAGTTCTGCATCAGGACCTACTTCATCTTCGACGGCACAATCTACAGTGGGTTCAGTGAGTTCGGGACTCATAGTCGAGACGGTCCTCCAGCCGTTGGATTCGCTGGTCTTCCGGCGCCACAGACCAAAATTCTGGGCTCGGTATATGCATGATACTTTCGCCGTCATTGAAAGGTATCAGGAGATGACATTTGAACTCCATCTCAATCCCTTCTCCCGGACATGCAATTCCCCAAGCAGGAGAAGAAAAACCAGCTGGCCTTCATCGATGTTCTGGTCTGCCGAAAATACTGTGATGACCTAAACAGTAAAGCGTTCAGAAAAGCGACTAATACGACGTACGTTCTGAGCTACAACTACAGCCACCCAATAAGCCGCAAACGCAGTTGAACAGGAT